CAGCATGGCAGGGCAGGAGAGAATGGTTATTGTAGCTGCAGAACTAGGGAGCCCATCATGCCAGGAATGGAGAAGGTGGCTATTGCAAAGGTAGAACTAGAGCGTCCCGCTACGTTGATAGCGCAACCTGTCAGAATCTAGATACACCATGCGCGCTGTATCCCGCGACTGACAGGTTATGCAAAATGTCTTAAACAGGAGGGGGTGGGACTCATTTAGATTTGGGATGGGGGATGGGGGTGCTCGGGTTTAGTCTTGCCTAGGGCAGCACAAAACCAAAATACACCACTGCCCGCTCCTCCAGACTGACTTGACCCATCAAGGCATTTTGATATTTGCATATCTCCTCCCAATAGCCGGCCCACTGCTTACATTAGGGCTGAGGGCTCTTGAGAAGAGTACAGAGGTAGAGTGCTGTGATGTTTTGAGGAATCTATGTACAGCATCCTGCCAGCCCCTCCCACCAGCCATGACCTGCCTGCATTCAGTCTTGGTCCTAGGTAACCCCCACGTGTGATGCTGAGCTGTTGCTCATTGAAAGGACTGAAATCCAATGAATAAAAGGGTGGTGGGTGCAAGGACAGGAAGATGTTGATGATGCTGAACGTCCTCCACCGAGGGCATGAGGTGGACTCTATCTGACTTGCTGCAGCCGCTAATGCACATTATAAGAAGCTTGCAGTGTGCTGTGAAATCAGAGTGAGGAGAGGAGCCGGTACAACCATGGAAGACTGAAGGGAAGGCCGGAGTTCTGCTTTAATAACTTTATACTGACTGACCTCGTTATTGTAAATTTCCTGTGACGATGATGTTGAATCAAAATGTTTATCTGACATATTGTTTCCCTCGTGTGAGTGTATCACCTTAACCCTTCCCGCAGACCCTTCGAAATCATTATTTTGCTGACTATTTTTGCCAACTGTGTGGCCTTAGCAGTCTATATCCCCTTCCCCGAGGACGACTCCAACGCCACCAACTCCAACCTGGTGAGTAGTATTATTATTATATGATGCATTTTATTCTCTTTGCTGCCATTGTATATTCAGTATTGTTCATCCATGACATGATTAACCTGCAGCTCTCTAGTTGTTGTGGAACTACATATCCCAGCAAGCCCTGGAAGCTGTTCTGCGGCTTGTAGTCATCTACAGAACCAGCACTGCTCAAGGCTCACCCGCTGAGAACCTGGTTTGAATCGCTGTCATCGCATGCTCAGCCGTTGTCTGTTCAGTCTTTGGGTTGGTTGGTTGTTGTCCCAAAATGTCAGATTTGGTTGTATTTGCTGTCTGCGCTGCCAGAACTTTCTTTTCACATCGTTTTCTCTTTCTGTTTTTTTTAGTCCAGATTTCGAACAGTTTTTTTATATTTTTATAGTGTCATAGTGTCATATGAAAGTCAAGTGAGATACCTGTCTCAGAAGCCTCTGATAGAAGCAGCCGCTCTCCATCTCCAGAGTAGTATACAATTCCATGAGCGCCATCGCTGTCAGGCCTGTGAGCGGGAGAATAGCAGATGAGAATATTTTGCATTTTAT